AAGGATTTCCAGATTGACTAAATTTTTCCACGGCAAAGTAGACATATCTGTGGAGCGGTAGTTCTTCTATCTGAATGTATGTACTTCCTTGCCAAAATGTTCATTTTCACGGAGCCGTTTCGATCTGAAAAAAAAACCTCAAGAATTCATTTGACAATTTAGTATCACAGCTGCCAGGTAGAAAAATGTTTGTAATTAAACACGATTTGATCTCTGTTTGCAGATATCTGGTAAGGTATGCACTTAAGCTTGCTCTATGGACTTATTGAGTTTTTCGAAATAAGTTTGATTTCAAGAATTTTCAAATCTACTAACGGGAAAAAATGTTTGCATTACTTAGTATTAATGATCTGTTTTGATGTTGTGCTGTGTGTTGGCCTTGCATGTACGCTTAGCTTCAGGTACCTTTGCCGCTGAAGAAAGAGCAAGAGTAAGCTCCCAAGACATGTTTAATGTAAATAATTATTACCAGAACATATGGAGTCCTGCATTGGCTGACTCACACGGCATATATAACGAAATTAATTGTAACTCTGCTATTACATCTCCATCGTGGTCATACTACGACTCCTTACGAGAAAGTAGCAGGTACACATCATCCACGTCGCTTGTGAATCCCGGAATGATGCTTGCGAATTGGGGAGGATCAGGAGAGTGTTCATCAAAAGCTCATTTACAAGATTCGTTAGCAGTTTATTCTTGTCCTTCTTTGCCGACTTCCCAATACAGAAGCGATGTCAGTAAAGGTTTCTCTGTGCTTGAAGCAAAAAGGCCTCGTAGCAGAAGGTCAAACCATGCGTATGCTGGATTCCGTGAGTACGAGATGAATCGGCGACATAGCTCTCGCAGCCGCTGTAGACGCAGATCACGCTCTCGTTGTCGATTGGCAAACTCACGTCACGGAAGCCAAGTAAGCCGCTACGATGATCATGGAAAGGATAACAGACGTAGCACGCACTCGCGAATGAAGGAATTTTACATAAAAAATGGACTTGTTGTAAGACGTTATCAGTACGGAAAAAATGCTCCAAACTGTTCTATGCATAAAGACTCCGATGTTGTTGAAAACGGAAGTTTGAAATTCCCATCACCTCCCCCTCGGAAGAGATCGAGATGGGATGATCCAGGTAGTGCTGGTAGGCGCAAAAACTTTCGTTTTCATATTTCTAAAGAATAGTACTGCTTGCGGTGTGATTTGGTCATGGTGTCGGTCGTTTGGATGCTTGCTTTCGCCTCACTCAATCTCACTAGCACGTTCACCGTATCTATCATTTTATGAGGTTGTCTTCTCGCAACCCTGAATTGTTCGAGACATTTAAAAAAAAAAACCCGAATTGCACCTCACCTCATTTTCCATTTCTCTGCCAAATTAATGACCGACATCTGAGGCTGTGATTGTTTTCAGAATTATGTACATCGCAGGCACAACCTGGACCCAGCGGTGCTCTAATTCCACCAATGCCTCCAGTACCCCCAATTTTTGGCATGACGTATCCGCCGCCACCTCCGTATTCAGCGGTGCCAATGGAAGGCTCCGCAATTTTTCCTCCGGGCTACTCTCATCCTCCCTCGGCGACACCGTCTTCGGGTCCTGGTGCACCAGGTGAGAAGTTTTGGTGAATTAGTCAAAAAGACGTTTTATGATTTTTAGAAGAAAAAGCTTCAACTTCACATATTGAAACGCCTCAGGAGTCGCGTCGTGGCAAGAGAAGTAGTAAACCACACAAAAGAAAGAAGAAGAAGCGGAGAAGGTGGATATTTTTCGCAATTACACAATCGCATTGATAGATATAAGGGCAAATGACGGGAAAAAA